TTAGTGGCTGCCTGGGGCGGCTTCTCTTGGACTTTACGAGTGGCCTCTGCAAGATCTTGAGCTGGAGATGGCAACTGCTGAATCCTGGCCGGGTCGAGAGGATAGCAGCGGCTTCTTGAGGCCGGCATCGTCTGCCGGGCAGGGCCAGGGCCCGTAGACCCCAGGGTCCCGAACTTAGCCGGGTAAGCAAAGGTCATTTGGGTGGTGGCCTGGGTCCCTTTGTGGAAACTTGGGGCTCTGTAAAAGTTCGACTGCACCTTGGTCGGAAACTGCTGCACGTAGCTTGGACGCCCGGCCAAGAGCGTCCGAGAAGGCACACGTCCGGAAACTGCAGGCACCGTCCCGGGAGCCGGAGCCGCAAACTGGACTGCCATACCTTGGACACCGTTTCCTGGCACCGCTGCCATCTGCTGGTACGTCAAAGCCATGTGCTAGGTCTAAGAAGCACTACGGCCACTGCGGAATCCTAGCACTGTGCCCGGGACTAGAGCTTCCAAGTCTACTGCAGCCGAAACGGCCGCAACTTTCGGGTTTAGGGTTGAGTCTTGCTTCGTCTGCAGCATGAACTGTCCGGCTCGGAGTGGCCCTCAGTGCAAAGGAAATCCACGAAAAAACTGAATACCGACCAAGCCCAACCCGAATTTCGAGCCCTGAACCTGAAATGGGTTCTTGTCTTGAGAATCTTAAACTTACCAGCTCAATAAACAGACCTACATACAAACAACAGAAAACAAGCAGCACAATAACAATAATACTAATGACAAGTAGCACAAGTAATTAGTAGGAAACTGAAAACCAATCATGCGCATGAATGAATACCTCACGGTGATTTAATGTGAACTGACTAATGGTCGAGAACTACTCAACAGCTCATACTTCAGACTATTACATCGTTAAAGTTGTCGGATTACCAACTGCAGTTCATACTGAACAGGCAGAACGGCTAAAAGTTAACAGTTAAATTGGTTAGGGAGCTAACCATACTTCCGAACTAATGGCATTATTCCAGCACTTTCCCTCTTACCGTCTCTTAAGCTAGGCCCTGAAAAACAAAAAAGCCGCAACCGTAAACTCGAAGCCAAGAACCCAACAAAGCTCAAACCACCTGAGGTCAAGGACGAGTGTTCTCAGCGCATCCCAGGGGCGGCCCAGGCAAGCCTGTGTAGGGTTTAGGGTTCGGGTTTAGGGTTTCGGCACTTAAGGCTCTATGGGCCCAGTTTCGGGCTTTCTAAGGCTTTCTCAGGATGATCTTGGGCTTCGCGGGCTTTACGAGAGTTTAGGGCTCAGGTTTGTGTGACTTGAGCTTAACCCTAAACCCTGAACCGGCTTCAGGCAAGACACCCTCCACTGTTAAAGCTGATCCTACTACATTCTGACCTCAACCCTAAACCCTAAACCGACTAAGCTCCGTCATTCGAAGATGCTGCCGCGGCACAATGCAGAATCATAACCAGCGGAAAGGACCTACATCTGCACAACCCAAAACCGCTATGACACGAAACCCTAACCCCTAAACCAGGGGTCAAAGGTTTAGGGTTTTGGGTTTCGGGACCCCTAAACCCTAAACCCTACACCGCTAACCCCTAGACCCGGGGACCTCTGCCCTGAAATTCCTCAAAGCCTTCAAACTGAGTTCGTAGCCCTAAACACTACTGTTGATGATATAAGCCCTGCATTAACCCCTACCCTACAGAACCCTTTAAGGGATCCCTTTAATGAAGCCCTTGCAAGTTACGACTGTTGACGATATAAATCCTGCATTGCCTCAAAGACCCTAAACTATGGGAGTTATGGTACAGTCCTTATTCAGGGCAATGCAGGAATTTATATCATCAACCGTACACTTCACTACACCTTCAACTTTTCATGACCCTAAACCCTGCACCTTAAGCCGCGAAACCTTGAAGCCCGTAATGGCCCTCTACCTTTAGCCATCAACTTTGAACAACCCTAAACCCTAAACCCCTAAGCCCCTAAACCCCTACACCCCTAAAGCTGTGCGTCTTAGTCCCCCAAAGCTCAGTAGAAACCCGACTCTGCGGCTCGAACCCGGCTGCTGGAACGGAGCCTTTTCATAGTTTACCTGGACCCTAGAATCACCTACCTTTTTAGGCATGGCACCCTAAACCCTAAACCCGAAAAACCTAAGACTTAGGGTTTAGGGTTTACCTGCAGATACTAGCGGCCACTTTAATCCAGCCTCTTCCTGGAATCTGGATTTCCCCGTAAAGCGGCCGTAAACGGGTTTATAAATTGTTTTTTTAGATGGCTTGAAAGCGGCTGGATTTTAGGAATAGCTCAAATGAACAGCCAGCAACTGCCTCAGGGCATCCTCCCCTAAACCCATAAGATATACCCCTGAACCGTATCCAAACCACAACTTATCCCAGCGAAGATAGCCCCCTACTTCAGGCCACAGACAGCCCTGCGACGGCACGCCGGCGATCCGGATCAAGGTTTTACAAGGCACTTAGGGGTTTAAATTTAGTTTTTCAATTCAGAGAGGGTCATATCACACTAGCTATGTTTCTAGAGCTTCGGTTCATACAAAGACAATCGTCATCTCAGCAGCTTGGATTCGCATCGAGAAAAAACAGGCAGCTTCTGCAATCAGCAGCAACATTTGCAATGGGCGGCTTCCCTTTGATCGCTCATGGATGGCTCCGAGGTACAGGTGTGCCCAGCCCCGCAAGCTCTTGACTGCTCGCTTCGCATTACTTTGTGCATCATGTGTGAGTGCAACAGAAGCACTGTTCTCGCAATTGGTTTGTGATCTGCTGCATTCGAGATCATTTTGGGCCCTAGTGGACAGTGCCACGTGGTGGGCCATGGATCGCGAGGTTCAAGAAGTTGAACTTGCGGGCTTGGGTGCAGCATGGCTTCAGAATCCCGAGGTGAAAGACAGACTGATGGAGGAAGGGTCAAGGGGGTTGATTTTGCCTCCGGAGGGCGAAAAGGCCCCGCTTTGCATCCAATCTACGGCTATCACCAATGATATGTTTCTGAAGCCTGTCATGGTACAGATGCGAGCTGCAAGGAACTTGAAAATCCCGAGTGTTGAGGCTTTGGCTAAGGAGATTTCTGTTTTGTGGAACAAGTACTTCGAGGCCAAGGAGAAGCGAAAGGCTGCTGCAGCAGGTCGACCTCCCAAGTTGCCTGCTGACTTTCGCTTGTCAGATGTGATTATGGCAACATGTCATTCGGATGCGAAGCACATCAAGAGCCTGCTGTCAATGTGCAAGAAGCAGTTTGTTTCTGAAAGAGCCTCCCGGGAGTCTCAGTAGCAGAAAGATTGCATGGATGATTTAAGGCATCCTTGATTCATATTGGTAGGCAATTGCCGAAGCTTCCAATCGCCCAAGGACCTCACGTATCGCCATATCGTGGGAGCCTTCGGAGTGAAGGCCGGGATTTTTCGTAGGGCTCACGCTTGAAGCCTCATTCTTATGTCCGGGATTGTCTTTGCCTCGCCGCGAGGCAGATTACCCAGAGATGGATGTGCCTGCCACCGAGGGCGGGGATGATGAAGATGATGATGATAAGAATGGTGAAGAAGAGGTTGGGGAACCGACGGGAAAAGTTCCACTTGCCACTGCGGCGAAAACGAAGGCGACTCGCCCTGCTCCAGCGGCTTCTGATGATGATTGTGTTTTGGTGGCTGGTGCTGAAGCTGCTTGTGACATGAAACGTCGTATGTTGGAGCAGCAGATTGCCAGCCTCCGAGCAAGGTGGCTCATCTTTATTTGGGGCTCGAACCATATTTGTGCATTTTGGGGAATCGTAATTAGGTCGCATAGGGCATATTCGGATAGTTTCGGTTCGGTTCTTTCTAGCCGAGGATTGCCCAGAAAAAGCTGGCAGCTGAAGAGGCTGCACTTGTACCGGCTCCGGCTGCTGTGGGTTTCTTGATCAGAAATTCGGGGTTCAAGTGTTCTCTGATTCGGAGCTTCTTATGGATCTAGTGTTGGGTGGTTACATTAGTAAATCCCTGTGCTTGTAGTGATGAAAAGATAAGTAAGCCGGCTAGTCCATAGAGTCATCCCCTCCTTTACAGTTAGAGAAACCCACCTGTAGACACGCATCTGCATGCGAACACGAGTCTATATGCATATACATATGTATAACTGTCTGCATGTAGATGAACAGACAAAAATACATCTGATGCAGGCACATACACATATACCCATTGGCATATTCAAAAAAGTGCATGCATGTATACAGACACATAAACACACTTTTGTTTCATAGGAAGTGTTCTGTCTATTTGATAGATATATAGACTCGCATAGACAGAATATGAAATCCCAGTACACACACAAAGTTATAGACAACATAGTATGAAATTTACACTTGTACATGGCCCCCC